TTGTAATTATAAAAGTCGATTTATAGAATTATAAAAGTAGATAACAATTATAAAAGTAGATAAAAATTTTCCTCGAATATTTTAAATATTGTATATTATATTTTCAATTTCGCATTACGCTTGACATATTTACAGTGTTCGTTTTCTTTCTACTTGCAAGATTACTGGATTTCCCGTAATGCACTTGAATTTTAATAAAATCCTCAGAAACACCCAAAACGAATTTATTACACAGCTCTGCCCCTTTTTATTGATATAAAGTTATTCATTATTATTTCAACAAGTAGACACCGGAAAAAAGCGTTCACGGATGTAATACAAATTATCATGATCATTTATCGGTTTCCGACGAGAAAGAACTTCAACAGTTAGGGACATAATACACGATGTAACGATTAGTATATTTGCTGCCTTTCAATTTTTTCGATGTACAACGATATTTAGTTTCCTACACTTTCGACTAGATTTAATTTCAAAGATAGGCAGCGTGTGTCTTATAAATAATCCCTCGTTTCACCTTTGAACGTTCTGCCTTCGCGTGAAAATTTTTCACTCGCCGCCGTGAATAATAAATTAATCGCGTGGGAACGTTCCGCGTGAGAAAGTACAAGGCGTAATTTATAAAGTGCTACCGTTTGAAGGGAACAGCTGTTTGAACATTTTTTAAAAATGACGATTGATGTTACCGGCGATGTGACGAGCAAACTTTTCCCTTCGAAATTGAAGAATTCAACGCTGTACAAAAATTGTACAAAGGTAGTTGTAGAAATTAATCGAGATCAGATTTAAAAAAAAATACACAGGACTAATTTTCTGAGTTACTTTCAACCGAGTTGTTTCAAACTGTCTGCAATACAGAAAAATTAGATACTAATCTTTACAGCTAAATAAGCCACATTTGCACATTTATGCAATTCGAAGAAACGCGAAACTGCGAGGTTAACTCTCTCTGTGAATCGACAGTAGAAAGCTCGATAAACTGTTTGAAACGTGAAAAAGAAAGAATGAAAGATTGAACGAGCCTACTTTTGCAGCTACTTCGGCGGCAGTACTAAACAGGCGAAGCTGATACGTGCACCGTTTCGCAGTTGGAACGCGAGAAGGCGAAAATCGGCGGAGTTCTGCTGCCGCCGTCTCCCGCGAAGAAGCATTCGACGCCTGGCGATTACTATGGATGCTTCGAGAAGGTGACACGCTTCAAACCTGCCGCGTCGGAGGGACACAGGAAAGGGAAACGGACGCCTGAACTACCGAACGTGAAGATCAAGCCGAATCCTCTCGGCGGTCCAGGATACGCCGACATTTGTCTCAGCCGTTTCCCATCTTATTCCCACAATCCTTACGATCCACCGAAAAAACACGCAGGTAACGTAGATTGTCAACGCGCTTTGCTCATTTATAATAAACGAGGAGGAACAAATACTTGATTCAAGGCCGAAGAAGAGATAGAACCTAGACAGACATCTGTCTGAATAAAAGTTACAATTTTTATATAATTAATTGCCGCGTTTGAAAATTAATCTTCCACCGAGACGACAATTTCTTGATCGTAACGTTTTCTGTACGTACGATCTCGCTTGTTATTTATTCCTTTGTCAAATACTTGCGTTGGCACGCGTTCATCCGCCTCTGGATAATATTCATTCGCATATTTCACGAATTTCTCGACTGAATGGACGAAAAATTGAATGGAAGTAATTGCGACATCAGTGGAATATTTTTTTCACTATGTTGATATTTTTTATGGAATTCCATCGAATGGGCGATAATTCTCTTCGTGTAATAGCTTTCAACCACGCGTGCGTTTTAAAATGTTTTTTTTTCCTTTTTTTTCAACGAGACATTAAACGAAACGTTCAAGGATTCCAGGAAATATAAAATGCTCTGGATAATTTTCCGCGAACATCACAAAGGAGATTGTTTTCTTTCTTTCTTTCTTTCTTTCTTTCTTTCTTTCTTTCTCTCTCTCTCTCTCTCTTTTTTTTTTATCTCTGTCGTGAAAATTAATTCCGTTTTAATGTAGCTCATACCCGAAAGCTATGTGCTTTGAGAAAAATAGAACAGCGATAACGAAGCTCTCTCGAAAAATAGGGATGTATTTTTCTTATAAAACTGAACCTGTTAAAATTACAACATTGCACAAACGTCTGCTCAGTTTCTGTTTCTTTGCTCTCGTTTAACTCGTGCAAATATCCAATTAATGCACACTGGAGATACTTGTAAATTTTGCAAATATCACAGGAAGATGTAATTGTCAAATTAAATTAAATTAAATTTTCGTACAGTGAATGCAATCATGTAATTGACAATTTGTATTTGTTCAATGATTTCAAAATCTGCAGAAATTCCCCTACGAGAAAATTAAAATACCTACTCGAAGAATAAAATAAAAACATCGAGATTCTTCCTCTTCATCCTTCGCCTTTACGTCTCTCTTACATCCGCGTTTCCTTTTACTCCTTCTTTTTCTTTCTCCGTCTTCTTTTTTTTTT